GCTCCTGGGCATATATCCAGAAGGAACCCTACTTCAGGATGACACCTGCACCCCAATGTTCATAGCAGCACTATTTACAACAGCCAAGACATGGAGACAGCCTAAATGTCCATCAATGGATGACTGGATAAAGAAGATGTGGTATATTTATACAATGGAATACTACTCAGCCATAAAAACCAACAGCATAACACCCTAACACCATTTGCAGCAAAATGGATGCTCCTGGAGAATGTCATTCTAAGTGAAGTAAGCCAGAAAGAGAAAGAAAAATACCATATGAGATCGCTCATATGTGGAATCTTAAAAAAAAACAAAACAGAAATACAAAGCAGAAACAGACTCATAGACATAGAATACAAACTTGTGGTTGCCAGGGGGTACAGGGGGCGTAGAATAGACAAACAAGATTGTACTGTGTAGCACAAGAAAATACATACAGGATCTTGTGGTGGCTCACAGCGAAAGAGAATGTGACAATAAATTTATGTATGTTCATGTATAACTGAAAACTTGTGCTCTACACTGGAATTTGACACAACATTGTAAAATGACTATAACTCAATAAAAGAAGTTTAAAAAAATAAAAAATAGATTGTGTTTATTTAAAACAACAAAACATTGCAGTATTCTTACAACTTTTGAGCTGTACCTAATAAACATAACCAGCAATTAGAGGAATTTTAATTATCTGGGGTTTTCAAATCAATTCACTTTTTTGGGAGACTTTTTGAATGGCAACCTTCTTATTCTCAGGCAAATGATTAAAGGGCTTTAAGATAACCTCATTTTTTTTGAGTATCTGGACATTATGAGCCAGATTTGCTTCTTATTCTGCAGCTTTTACATTTGTTATGAGTTTGTTTAAACCCCAAATCCAATAATGTATTAGTAACTAGATTACTCTTAAATCATCTTAGATGTATTGCCTTTTATAACATGTAGCAATATTTTATGTTAAGGGTAACCCCTATGATATACCTGAGAATGTTCAGTTCCTTTTTGATGAACAAGCTGACTTAGACTCTTATAAGTCAAACAATGATAACAGTAGAAAAAGTAGGTGTTTCCAGAAAATTCCCCAAGTATCAGCCTGGATAGTCAGAAAACAATCTATTAATTTAGGTATTCTTTATAGCTGTTAAAGCTATAGCTCAGAGTCCATTACTTAACCTAATGTTGGGTATTGTTGCCATTACTGAAACTAATGTTGGCCGTTTTCACTTAGTTGTACAAACAAAATTCCATTATATCCCAAATGTCCAGACCCAAAACTATTACCAAGCCTCAGCTAACTATTCAGTTTTTTTCTAGCAGCAGTCCACTTATTTGTGAGAGTAGCATACTGAAGTCTGTTCATTTATTCTTTCATCCAAATGTTTTCTGAATTTCCTATCTTTCTGGGTTTATAATTTAACAACCAAATTAGGTTATGTAGTGAGAGTTTACTCAAAGATGTATTGTCTTTAGGGGTAGGTGATTATTCTTTCCTCCGCTACCTCTGAAAGCCTCTAAATCTGCCTTAGTTATCCACCAAAAAAGTCCTAGGGTAGGTAAGCCACGCAAAAGTCATTCCTCCTAATTCCACTATGGAAGCCCAATATATAACCTATTAAACATTTAAATTTCATTTGAAGACTCAACAGAGAAGCAAAATTATATTTTAAGGTAAATTACTGTTGCTATGAGTGGACAAAAATAATAAGTGAAAATTGGAAATGCAGTTGCATATAAATTTTAGTCTGTAGTAGTAAAGGATAACAATATGAATGTATTACAGTATTACTAGAAGTACATTTTATTGCTAAAAAAGTCACAAATAAAATATCTTACTTGTAGTTGAAAGTTGCAGTAAAAATATTACATATGATGTGGTACACATATTGCTGTTTGTGACCCACTGATCAAGTCTAACTACCATCTATTCAGTTTTCTCTCCAACATCTCCGCCTAGTGGACATTCTTTCTATGCTTGAACATATCCATCTCTACCTGTTTTACTGAGAGACGGTTGTGAACGTAGTTAGATAAGTATGAATTTAAAGGGGATCTAGCTCAGGTCCAAATAATGGAAAGGGAGAACAGAACCAAACGTAACATCTACCACACATATATCTTGATAAATTCTAAATTTCTTACTAGTAATTAGTGGAAAGTCTTTATAGGTAGAATATAGGGGTATCTGTTTTAGTAAGTGATTATACATCCACACAAGTGGTAAATAAAAGTTACATATTGTGTCACTGTCAAAATAAAGTAAGATTTTAAAAGAGATCATATTTAAACTATAACATAGCCACCCAAGAGACCTCAGGCAGGAAAAAGTGAAAAGAAGTTATACAGCCTTGCTCTGACCCTGACCAAGTTTTAGGAAGTGGGGGCAAAAAAAAGGGTAGATCTCTAAGAATATAACAAAACAGCCTGCCAACTAAATAATAAGATTTATGCTTAAAGACAATAAAACCTATCCCTATCACCCAATGTTTTTTAGTTTTTTATGGTAGAACTAAATTCCTCCTCTATCTTGGATATCAGAAGAAACACCCCTAAGGGATTATATTTTGGCTGATGGAGAAGTAAATCTCATCTCAAGGGTGGACTTGAAAGGAAACCTAAGAACACGTTTGCTTTGATGATTTTGATGTTTGAAGAGATCATAAACTTGTCCCAGATCACTAATAAATGGCAGAACTGGGATTTGAACCCAGTTACCAGCATTATTATTATTTAGTTTACCTGACACTAAAGACCAAGTAAGTGTGTGTATGTAGTTGTGTGTTTTGTTTTCTGTTAAGTTCCTTCTCCGGGAAAATGTAGCAGTCACCCATTTGATAGTGAGATGAAAACACGTTTAAATACAAGTTAAATAGTAAATATACATGTAAGGGACAGGGTCTTATGTAGACAGACTTCTCTACTGGGATCTACATCATGACCATATTTATGTTTTACCTACATTCACAGGAATCTTTCAAACTAAAGTTTTTCTGGAAATAATCTAGTCACTTACCATCTTATATTAATATGAGAATGGTGCCTACCTTAAAGTCTTATATATCAGTATATTTTAAAAGGTAAGGTTTTATAGCTCTTAAACTTAGATATAAAGCTGACTTGTTTCTTGTGTACTTCAATTTGATTTCTACTTTTTAACTTGATTACCCATTTCTACTTTTTAACTTGATTACCCACATACAACATTCTTCTAGATGAGGAGTTCAAACTACCACCATAACTTCATAATAAGGAAATAAACCGTCCCATATTATCTTTATAAAATAAGCAGTTTAGTTTTCTTCTAATATCCTTTTTTCCATATGTAAGTAAAAGATAATTTGCCTTTAATTTATTTTTATATTTTTCATTTGGTAAATGATTGTTCAACTTTCCAACATGACCTATAGTGTTATGTTAGATTTAAAGTATATAGTAATAGACAAACAGGATACAGTAATTAACAATAATACAAAATAAATGGCTGAACCAAATTATTTGAACATATTAAGCTGTCTACAAAAAAAAATTCAGTCATTTAAAGCATTTGTACACTAAAACTAATCAAAGCCATAACAGACCAAATTGGACATGTGATGAAATCTGGAAAATACCACCTTTAGGTAGCTTAAGGTAAAAGTAAAAAAATTCAGAGGCTACTACCTAAGACCAGAGATCATGCCTTATTCATCTTTGTTTACTCACTGAATTTTTAAGGCTCTTTATTCACACTGTCATATTTGCACCAATTTATGCTGTAAGAAAGGCATCAACAGACTGCTGGTAGAAGTGTAAATTGACAAACTATGACAGCATGAATAAAGAGCATTAAAAAATGTCATACATGATAACTTAATAGATAAATCTACTTCTAGGAATCTATCCAAAGAAGTAATCAGAAATATAAATAATTTATGAATAGCTACCATTATGTTTTATAATGATCAAAAGAAATGTCTTCAAATAGGTAAATATTTAAATAACTGTGGTATATAAGTAACAGAATGCTATATTATTAAAAACAATACTTATGAATAGCTATTAATGACATGAAAAAGTCTTATTGTATAGTATTGAGAAAAGTAGGATGCAAGGTTGTATGTTCAAGCGTGATATTAACTATGTTAAAAAAAACATGCAGAGGGAAAAACAAGAAGTAAAATGAAGTAAAATGTTAATGGTGATTAAGTCAACTTCAGAAATTTATATTCTTTTAATATTTTTTGAATTTTCCAAATGTGTTATAGAGGCAAATTATTTTTACAATCAGAAAATATCAAGAAATGCTTTAAAAGTCTCATGTAAGTTAATACAAAGTTTTTTCTTTATGATTTACAAGTCCCTGTACAATTTGTACTAATAATATTTACCTCATCATCATTGTCAGGAACTGGTTCATATAAGGATGGTACCCAAGCAAGAATATTGCAGTCTCGGCCACCACTGTACAGCTCCTGTAACACAGAAAGCGAAGACACGGCTGTGGGTCAGCTTAGAGCTGGGACCAATCTGAAATGAGCTCCCTCAACTCTTTAAACCATTAGTTCTTAGATTAGATCCATTAGATTAATTCTATCTCTACTCCCCAAAGACACTGGGCTGATGTCCTCTTTTGTTTGTTTAAGATGTAGCAAAGGTTTGTTTTATATTTAAAAATAGTAGTAATTAGGGTATGTCAGAGTTTGCTAACATGTTAAAATTTACAAAAACACTCAATCATAGTGGTTTTTATCAGTCATAGTATCCATCAAGTGTTAAGAGTAGAGAGTGGAAAAAAATTGAAGAAATGTAAGAGTTTGTCCTTTTCTGTCAATAACTCAGTTTCAGTAAAGACTTCAATGAAGAAACCATGAATTTCTAGCTAAAATAGGCCAAAAATTCAAAAAGTTTTATTGAGCTCACAGCTGTCTAACTGACTGCTATTCAACTGATGAATCTGTCAGCTTGCTGAGAGGTTTACTTATAAGGGGAAGCTTGGGCCGATGCACAGTCTGTCACTGTCTTCATGGATATGCTGTATGCACATGCCCGACGATGTTCACTCCACCCCAATAGAACTTAAGAAACATGTTATACTGGCTTGTATTGAAAATATTCCTATGGGGGAATCTCAAAGCTTATAGAAATTTCAAGATTAAGTTGCCAACATGAGGTTCTATCACCCTTGAACAATCAATATGTGAACAAGGACTCTCCTACATAAATACAATGCAACCAGCAAAATCAGATGATTCACACTCATATATCATTACCATCCAATTCTTAGACCCCATTCAAGTTTCACCAAGTGTCCCAACAATATCTTTTAGAGCAAAAGGTTCCAGTTCAAAAATCACATGCTGTACTTATGTCTGTTTATTTTCCTTCAATCTGGAAGAGTTCTTCAGTCTCTCATTGGCTTTCCTGATTTTGACAATTCTAAAGATATACAGCAGTTATCGTGTAGAATGTCCCTCAAATTTTGTCTTATGTTTCCTCATGATTAAATTCAGGTGATGCATCTTTGCCAGGAATATCACATACCTTGATAATTTGATTACACTGATGTATCTCAGTCTTCTTCAAGGTAAAATTACTCATTTTACCTTTGTAATTAATATTTTGTAGGGTTCTACCTTGAGACTATGTAATATCCCACTCCTCATCAGACTTTCAATTTATTAGTTTACTTACTTATAGCAGAATGGATTCATGGATCCCTATTTTAGCTAACAGGGAATAATTCATTATCATTTATTTTGATGTTGGGTATATCTTTTCAAATTTTTACATTTATGATAGAATTACTATAATTATCAATTTTATTTTCTGACAGTGAGTTTTATGTAATATATAATTGATAAAAGGATTCTGTTGCTAAATGGATGCAACTCTTTTACTTCTAGGAGGTGCATACAGCTCAGTGGTGGAGAGCACGCTTAGTATGTGCCAAGGTCCTGGGTTTAATCCCTAGTACCTCCATTAAAAAAAGAAAAAAGTCTTTGACTTCTATAATTTAGATTTGTAATTATTGTCCTTTTCAGAAATCCTAATAGATGGAATAGGATAAGAGTTGGAAGCTTTCTGATGTAAGGCAGTGATTCAAATCTTTCCTAGTACATAGCACATACAGAAATGGTATTTGTCAGGAGGCAACTGGCCACAGGTTTCTGGCTATCCTAGGCTTGTCCCAGCTATTCTAGGGGCTGAGGGAAATCAACAGCTTGACACACTTTTGATCCATTCTAGGAACACCTGTTAGGAAACTTTGATTTTGTAGAAAGCAATAATTGGTAGTCAGAATACCTGCATTAAAGTCTTGGCTGTGTCTCTAAGTGACCCTGGACAAGAAAAGAGGTACTGTATTCTAAGAACTTCTTTGCATGGATAATCATGCTCTGTCAATCTGTGTGCAGATTTGAGGCAAGTCATGTCACCTCTCTGGTTG